TACTTAGGTTGATTGCCAACTTGGCTCCAAGGGAATGGGCCTGAAAGGGGGTTAAGGTATTAGTTCTGCTTTCTTTCCTTCCAGTTTATAAATGGAAATTCAACCCATTAGTACACAGGCATGCATCAACCCCCTTGTTGTTTTCCTTGCCCATTCTGTAAACCTTTTAATTATCTTCAAAATCTATATTGTCTTCTGTTTCCTGTGAGGACAAGACTGATAGGAAGTCCAGATGAAATATATTGGTAGCTGGGAAGGGATGAGGGGATCTAAGGGAGATGGTGGTGAGGAAATATGAAGAGAACGTATTTGAGAGATGCATAGGAGGTAAAATGGAGAGGACTTGCTGACAGAGTTGGAAAGTAAGGCAAAGGGGGAGGTATTTGTTGACCCTGGTTTCTGGGTTTTGTATCTTGGTGGGTGGTGGGAGAGATCCACATTTAGGAAGGAAGCTTGTGAACTCATTTCTCGCCAACATTTCATTTTGAAAAAAATGCAAACCAGGAAAGTCATTTTTTGATATGTTAAATTAGGGAGTACTTTGGAGTCATCCAAGAAAAGTTAGCTCCTGGATAGTTGAGTCTGGGGCTTGGCAAAGACGTGTGGGCTGCAGATACATCTTTCTGAGTTGTCTGTGGCTTCAGAAGTTGCTCTATATTACTTCCTCAGGAAAAGCACTCTATCCTGCCCCTGCAAACTAGCTGTGTGCCCCATACTACTATGTAGTAGCATCATTTCTCATAGTTAAAAACTTCTGATTAGTTATGTAATGTCTGTCTTGCTAAGTAGAATTTAATCTCTATGAAAGCAGGAACCTCACCTTGTTCAGAGCAGTGTCCCCAGGGCCTAGCCCAATCCCTTGCACATGGTAGGAATTTCTTAATTATCTGTTGAAAAAATCAGTGAATCAACCATTGTTTAGACTGCTTTGGTGCATCAGGGCTGACAGCTACTTGAATGTCTGAAGCTCAGGATTATCCAGGACTAGCCCTTTGAGCCTGGTCTGGAGGTTTAGTCCCTCTAGTATCATGGATACACAACTCTGCTTATCTATCTAGTCTTTCATAATTCAGCACATTGGACCAACGATTTTGCCAATTGGCTCACCTCTGAAGTGTGAAAGTCTCTATTCAGGTTTGACCATGTTCCAGTTGATAGGAAATGACCAAGGTTGAAAGTATATGAAGATCTAAACTAAAAACACAGATTTATTTCCAGGATCTAAGATTCAAAAAGTAAGAGGCTGTGGATAAGAAGCCACATGTTGGGAGCATGATCTCAGTTCTGCTTGGAAAGATCTGAGGGCCTGTGCTGTTTTCTTTCCCCAAGCCACGTAGTGCTCTTTGGGGCTATTTTGAACCTAGAGATTCTTGGCCTTTTGAGATAATATACAACTTTGAGAAATTGCTCAAAGCTTTATAATTTTTTCTTCAGAAAAATGCTAACGAGCACATTTTGGAAACATATATATATATGTTATCAGAGGTATTCAGGAGCCTCTCCAAGGATTGCAGGTTAAGATTCCTATTCTAACCTAATTTGAAACCAGCCTTCCACACTGGGGTGTCCAGCTCCTTCTGTTGCAGGGCCCTGGTGATCCTGGAAGTTGTCAGTTAAATAGGGATGGTAGGTCCCTGGTAAAAGAGCATCGAGGAGAGGAAGGGCATGGAGCATAAACAAAATGGAATAGAGACATAATCTTTGCATTTCTTTGCAGCCTTCACTTTAATCAAAATAGTTTAGGAAAGAAAGAGCCCACTGTTTTTGCTTTATAAAATCCTGATTTTATTGCTTCCTGAAAAATTTTTTAAAGGAGAAATACAAACCATATGTTACAAGGGCCTTCATTTGACAGTTTAACTGGGGTCACTCTAGGACTCTATAGATATTGCTGATTATGATAGGAAAGCCAGTGGAATGGGTCTGACAAGGATCCGTTGGCAGCAAGGATCAAGATACCCCTTTGGAATGATCTTGTCACAAGGAAGAAATGTTTGGGGAGAATGTGCCATATTTGTGGGTCAGGTGTGAATTTTAATACAGCACAATGTCAGTCACTTACTGCCCTGCAGACCCTGAAGACTTGTGCCTGACCCAAAGAGAAACATTAATAGTGATTAAAATGTTAACATTTTGTTTTACTAAAATATCTGTAAGGCAGTGTAGCAGATGTGGGTGGCTTCTTATTGTGAACATCTATGAATTCCTGCCTGAGAGCCTTTTTTTCTGGAGCAAAAGGAGCAAGCTGAGGCAAGCTGGAAAGGCAGAACATTAATGCCCCTGGAAGATGCCCTCAGTCAATGACAGGTGGGGATTATCCAGTGATGGATGAAGAGCTTCCTCACCACTTTGATTGGGATAACTCTGAGACGTGTTCTGTGCTGTCTCCCAGAGTTCCTCAGCAGTATTGGGGTACAGGGGTTAACTGGCTGGATAACACACCATTTATTGGCTTTCTTCCCATCACTATAATATCTTACTCTTCCTATCCCTGTTCCACTGCTCTTGAGATCGCCTCCTAAATAAACTATTTGCATGTAATTCTCTGTCCCAGGGATCATTTCAGGTGGGGGTGATGGGAGCAATCCATACCTAGACAAGCTCTGAGAATATATATAAGCCATCATAGGTTTGGAGTCAGACAGATCTGGATTCAAATTCCTTCTCACCAGTGACATTGACCAACTTAATTTACCTAAGATTATTTCTTAGAGATGACACTGACTTCATAATGGAGACAATGACTTCATAAGGTCATATTGTAAGGAACAATTTGAGAATGTATATAAAGCACTGTACCCAGTGCCTTATACATGGTAAGTGCTTAATAAATGTTGGCTATTATCATTAATACAGTTTTTGTAATATGGTTAATACAGCATAACTCAGAGGGCAAAGCACAAAGCTGTTTTCCATCCTTGGGGTGACTGCAGGTTGATTTGGCAGGTGTGCTATAAATACTGTGTCCCTGGTGAGCAGCTGTGGCATAGCAGTGTCAATAGCTTGGAGCAAGCATTGCCAGGGCAGGAGAGAAGGAAGATGGTGCACACCAAAGTGGTGGTTTAAAAGAAGAGCAATTCACAGTGCAACAATGGTATTGCCAATTGTGCTTAGTCTTGGTAAGCACAGATAGCTACAGCACCAGTAACTTCATGTCTGTGTCCAGTATACACTTTGTTGGAATCTTATTAGCCTCACTCTTGAGTGGTTGTGTTCAAGGCTACCAGGACTTAGTTTCTGATTTCAACCTGTTTTCCCGAATGTGCAAAGGACTCTTTTGCTTTCGTTACATTTATGAACCTAATTTGTTATTTTAA